GCGGCGCACTCCACTGAGGTCTCGAGATGACATTACAGTACCACCAAGTGTGAGTGGAGCGAACGTTTTGCATTTGTCTATGTTATCTTCTCTTTGGCTGATTACCGTGGAGAAAGCGCAAGTCGTATGCCCCGCTTACGGGTAACGGAACTTCTCCCCTCGCGGCATTCTCCCTTGCGGCATGCGGCAAATGCCACTGCAATTACCGTACTCACCTCGCCTCTCGCCAATCGATAGGACGCGATATTTTTCGTTGATTGGCTTGCTTTTTCATTGGATTTTATCGTTTTTTCTTCTGTTTCTTTTTAGTTTTCATGTTTATTAGACTTGATTAATCAAAATGACTCCTCCTATATAAACGACGATCAAGACCGCATTGGAATTGAAAAGAGCGGCTAGCCAATTCGGATAATTAAAGGACTCTCTACCTTACAAATTGCGCGCTCCAATCTTCCATCGCAATCCTGCGATAGGCGGCGGGTGCGGCGTGTGCAACGCCGTGTTAGGGGAGAAGTTCCCGGACCCCCCCCCCCCCGCTTACAGCTGCGACGTCTGTCAAGTATCGCGGGCTGACCCGCCTCATGCGACGGCTGCGGCGTGACCTAGTTTCGACGGACACGCTCAACGAAGCGCACCCCGACTCTGACGCCAATTTTCGGGGCACAAACTCGAAGTAGAGTTGTTTAGTAGGGTCATGTGATCCTTCTTATCTATCTACTTCAAATTTGGGCCCCAATGATAAACGCTAAAGTCGTTCAAATCGTTACGAACTTCGCGCGCGCATCCTCGGGCACACGCAAGCCGCACGTAATCAGATGTCGCTTTGAAAAAAAAATTAATAAAAAACTTCCCGAATTCGGGTTAACCCTTGGGAAATAGAGAATAAGGGAAAAAATCGCTGACTGGATTTCACGGACTGTAAATAGAAGTCTGTAAAGAGTAGTATATTTGTAGAAGAACAGAGAGCCATTTCTATCGTAAGCCATTGTTGTCGTGCGTTTCCATTATCGGTGTGGGAGGGGGGCACACGTAAGAGGAGGTGTTACTTGTTACATATTTCGAGTTACACCAGAGATATGCAATTTTTCGACTAGGCCTTATGAGGGAAGGATCACCACGATGAGCGAGTTTTCAGCTTCCCGGACGAGCTGATCATCTCACCCTTCCCGGTGCTCCTACCACCTGAGCGTTAGTTGAGGAACTACATTCCCTGACTAAAACCGCATAAGAGCACGCTGATGCCGGGACCATCCTACTCTTCCACTCCGATACAGTGCTGGTCAAACACGGTTTATCGGGTAGCACCGCCTCAATTTCTCGCTTCACCAACACCGTGATTGTGCCACCCCCCCCCCCCCCCCCCCAACCCCACCCAACTACATTTTTCAACGCAAAATGATTATTGGATCACAGAAAGGTGATGGAGGTACTACAGTATTTCTGAGAAGTGCGTTCAGAGGAGAGAATTTCGAAGCGTCCAAGCCATGGAATCCAGCTGCCATCACCGTGTAAAAGTGCAGGAGGGGTTGCTCGGGGAGGTCGTTCCAAATGAGACATACAGAAGGCCGGTGTCCACCCTACTGTTTGTCCCCGGTACATTTCTGGGATAACACGGTCTAACATGCTGCACCGTGTTAGTTTCTTGCTACGCAACACTATTATGTGTGCCGCCCTCCCCTCCCCATCTACATTCGCCCTAATATCCTCTTCCTACTCTTCCTATTGATGTCCTTATGATGTCGCGAGTCTTCAGATGATTGAAGTGATGCTTCTCTAACCCCCTCTACTCCGCAAGCATCTCCCACTGACGAATAGGAGAAGCGACAGCTCAGTACCCTTGAATCGTTAACCCGGAGGTCTTAGGTCCTCTATAGGCCCTCCAAAATCAGCCCATCCTTGACGTAATGAAACAAATCGATACATGTCCTTTACAAGTACTTTCACGATAAGATCCACTTGCGTGAATCCGAACGAGCGGTGAAAGGTGTGCAGCCAGTTGATCATATCATCAGTCGTCTGGGTGGTCGGCTGGTGGGATAGCAGCCGACTGATAGTGCCGACAAGGTTGATCGTCGGCTAAGTTGTCGAGCAAACCCTCTACCAGTCGACCTCGGCCTTTTTCGTCTATTCGATTCGTTATTCATCGCATCTTCAACACCTGCTCCTGGTTCTTTATCATCACTGTCAACTGTAAAAGGTGATGACAGGTCGAATTCGAAGTCCTTGACTTTTCATTCGATGCCACAGTTAATGAACCTTTTAATCGAAAGTTCTTACACTTGACCAAGTGGGCAGGAATCGCTCAATCTGATAGTCTCGTTCTTTACTTATTCTCATTCGTGTTCTGCTATCAGATTCATGTGGACGATTAAAGTGATCAAAAGGAGACTGGGCCCATACTAAATCTGCCAACTTTGTCTTTGCTAACCGTCAATGTAACCTTACTTCCCTGTCTCTGGGACCAGCCCATAATCGCTCGAATAGTTACAACAGCTCCGAAAAGTTTCCAATCAACTTTCTCATCTAGCTTCCCGAAAACACCTTTTCTGTTAGTCCAACTTGCTTGTTGTTTCGTTTTTTCATCCGGGTTGCATGGCTCTTTACAGTATCTCGATATGAATTCATAGGGCAAACATCTAATGGTTACTTCAATCGTTTTCGTTCCTATCGTTCCAAATTGTTCCCACCTTTAATTCTCGAATTTTCACTTTTCTTAATAGATACTGAATGCAGGCGAATCCTGACATGACCATCTGCTAGCGGTGTTCGTGAACATTGGTGTGACTGAACGGAGACCGGTTCTTAGCATACATGGCAATAGATCGTTTTCGATTTGGTTGATCTTTCCCAATACACTCAGCTCCAAGTCAAGCCTAGGAGGACCTCTCCGACGCGGTAATCCATTACACGAGATCAACTCCCGTTATGCTAAAAGGAAATTATGACTGCTTCCGTGCACTGTCGCCCATTCTTAAGTTCGCGTGTAAAGTCCCATAAAAATGAGAACTGGTATTTTGCACCTTCTCTTTCTCCGAAAATAAATTTCAGTCTACTAGTAATTATCAAGGAGCGGCATGCGCAGTAGGCGTAGAGACAGTAGTGCCTTCACCAGCCACTAAATCTAGTAAACGATGGAAAAGTATCTGTTTTTATGGTTCCTTTCGCTGCTTTTGTTCAGTTCTTCTCAAAGAAAAAACCCCCACTGGCTTGTGAATTTTTCGCCTCCCCAAAATTTCGCATTGATTAGTTCTTCACTTTCCATCGCTTATGCCCTTTGGAACAATCTCTGCTGGCAACCCCTCATGCACTTTTGACAAAAGTGATGGCAGCCAGATTCCCCTGGTTGGACGCTTCGAGATTCTGCCCTCTGAACGCACTTCTCGGAAATACTGATGGGATGCCAGTTAGGGGAGGGGTGGGAGGAGGCAAACATGTAGGTAAAACAAGTAATTAACACGGTGCCACCTGTTTAACCGTGTTATGCCAGCACTGTATCGGAGACGAAGAGGAAGGTGAGCACCGACCCCGGCCCGGTCATCTGGGCGCTCCTATGCGGGGGATATAGTTCTCGAACTGAGCCTAATGAGAATAGGAGCACTTGAAAGGATGAGACAATCACCTCAGGCGAGGAGCTGAAAACTTGTCCACCCCGGTGCTCCTTCCCTGCTAAGGCTTAGTCAAAAAATTGTATATCCATGTATTACACGGAACGCCACGTAACACCGCTTTAATTCCTTAACATGCTAGCCCTTATGTATGCCCCCCTCCTCCCCCGGCATTCTCACTTTGAATCTATTGAGTACAAAACGTTGCACAAAACCATCGTTGTGTCCCTAAACAGTTCTCTCTTGTCGAAGAGACGAATGGCGCGGGGCACCACCAGAACAACGCATCAGAAGCAAGGGCCCAGACGTCCGGAACCAGGACAAGGCTGTCCCTCTATGGAACTGGTAGAACCGCACTTTATTTACTTACTGCGTGATTCGGAGTACCAGGTCATAGTCCCAAAACAATGGCAGCGTCTCCCTGTGGCCACGCCCCAAGCTTGTGGCGTCCTATTGGTTTGGCACGGTGCCAGACGCTTGGCACCCTGCCACTCTCCAACGACCTTACACTCTCTTTGGTGTGCAGAGGTCACTCTATGAGGGCGTCTCTCCTGTACTCCCCATACATCACTCTCCAGCTCATCTCGTCGTACACCTTTTTATGCATGTTGTAGACGCGCCATACATTAAAGAACATTGCAGCGTTATTTTTCATTCATCTGTCAAGTAATCTGACAGCAAAAACGATTTGTCTAATTGTCGTATCGTTTGGTCCCTTCCATATGCTTGCCAACGTTTTTCGCCTGTTATCCTCCTTTTCCCATGAATGGGAACTCGTTCAAGTTTGACTGAGACTTTTCCAGGTTCGCCCAGTCGTTCTAGCAGCATTTGGCGCATTTGTGCGAATTCCACAAACACTTCATTACGAGCATGGTGAGTGATTCGGGCACTTGGCGGCCACAAACATACGTTATTATTCTAAAGAGTGGACATCGAGTGATTTATAGTCGCAAGATGTGTGCTGGCAACGAATGCCACTACCGTTCTTTTTTTGCGTTTCTTTTACTGTGATACTTCCGGCGCGGTGGTTACTCGCATGGTTGGCTTCTTTTTCCTGTGACAATCTGACGGGACGCGCTGCTGACCTCGGGAAGCTGAGGGGTCATTTGGACGGTGGCCAAGTAGCCGTCGTCTGGCGCTCTCTCGTCCCGTGCGTACGCTGCCATCGCTGTTGGGTGTCTGCGTCGCCTCCCGACGTCGTTCGTGGCGGTCCTTCTAATCACGAACGCCACGTCTCGCCCACCCTCTCTGGCAGACGCCATCTCTCGCTTCGCTGATCCTCTTTTGAACGACTGCCAAAATTTGCGATACTATCCCTCTTCCGTTCGTTTCCTCGGTGGCTTACTGAACTGACTGATCTTACTAGTTGAAGATAATTTACATTCAATTTTATCAATGGTAAGTGAAATTTATCTTCTCAAAATGTTAGGCTGTTCTACACATGCGGTTTAGCGCTAGCGGTAGTCTTATTGTGATCAGATTTTCGACATGCGTACTATGCTCGTTTTCAGGTTCATAGTCACAGTATTCTGTGCTTTTTTACATGGCTCTTTTTACAAAATAGAACATTTTAATAACAATAATCTCATAAATTTTTTTTGTTTAATAGCGTTAGAAGTGCAATCCACTTTTACCTAATAAGACAGTAAAAAACCTAGTTCTTTGTATAGTTTTTCCTTTGGAAGTCCTGTAACAGTTTTCTTTTATTTCAGGCCAGATCAGTTTCTCGACCTCGTAAAAGCGCGTCGAAATCGCCGGCGCGTGTGAAGAAGATTCCGTCGTCGCCAAAGTCTGAACAGAAGAAGATTACGTCGTCGCCAAAATCAAAGCCGAAAAAGACCACGTCATCGCCAAAACCTCAACCGAAAAAGATCACGTCATCGCCAAAATCAGAACAGAAGAAAATCATGTCTTCGCCGAAATCTGAACCTAAGAAGAAAAAAACCGAGAAAATTAAAGCGAAGTCCAGATCAAGATCTGTTAGTAAGGGACGTAAAGACAAACAGAGGAAGATATCCCCCAGCAAGAGCATCAGCAGGTCGAGATCTCGTCCACGTCCTTCGAAGGTATATCCTCAAACTGATTTTTTCTTGTCATTTGCTTATTTTATTAAACTTCCGCACTTCCATTAATCCATTGACCGAATTCGAGTATTTCAGAAACTTTCACCGTTGAGATTGCCTTCGCCATTGAAAAGCGATGAGTTGAAAAAATCCACAGCCAACGCATCTGCAGTGAAGAAACCATCGGTTAAAACACCCACCACGAAGGTGCCACAACTGAACACCTCATCCAGCAGCCTTTCATATATGCGTCCCTCACGTAGCGTGGAAAGGAAGACATTCACCTCTACGCCTTATGATTACGAAGTGCGGCAACGGTTATTGCGACCTGAAAGTTCTAGTCGATCTCCAGTCAGGGTGAGTAGAGCTTTCTTTGTTTACTTTAGAAGCTCCCAGTAAAAAAGCTGGTCTTTCGGCGGTTTTTGTGGGGTGCATTCGGTATTCGTACAGAATCGTAATGGTGATTTGAACGCGTATGTGGCCTGTACAATTGATTACGGAGGCTAAGCGATGTACAATTCTGTGCCTTTTCCTCCCAACCGATTCGATCCGAGATTCGCCCTCGCATTGTGTGCGCCACTTGCCACCATACCACCTGATTCAAATTCAGATTTTCTGGCTGTGGCTATGCTGCCCCGAAAAGACTCGGGACAGTGGCAGTTCTATTGTTAATCCCTTTCCACCTACCCAAAAATTCACTCCTGGCGGACCGGTACTTTTTCTATAAGTGATTTTTCAGATTACACCGAAGAAGTTGGCGCCAACTGCTTGCGCCAGGCTGTATAACCGTACATACAATACAGTTTCAGCCGCTGGGCGTACCGTCTGCAATGCCACTCGTGCTGCGTGTCAATCTGTGGTATCAAATCGTCGCGAAATCTTTGCAACACTAGCTTTGTTGGCTTTAGTCGCTCTTATCACATATTTTATTCTCTATAGTGATCCGGCTAAGACGCGCGCTTACATTCATTCGATTCCCGGAAGGGTTCAAGCATGGTATAACAGACAAGTTGGTCGTAAGTAGAATAAGATTCCCTGATGATTTAACCGTAGTGAAACCAGAAGGATCCTCTGATTGTGAGCTCTTCGATGTTAGTCATTTAATGGTTTGAAGAGGAATCATGGTCTCATTTTGTACAGCAGGCATTTCATACACGAAAGCAATTATTTATGTACTGGATTTCGTCGTTCTTATGTACATAAAAACTGTCTTTGATTATTCCAAAAACATGTGTTGTTATATTCTAGGCCATGGTGCTCTTATCGATCGTGACGATCACTAATTTGATTTCCATTTTTTCCCGTTTTTCAGAAACAGCTAAATCTGAGATTGTAGTTTGAGTTAGCTGTACGACCCCGTGAAAGTGTAGTGCTTCTGCTATGCTTATTTTTTTCTCGTGTGGGCAACTCCAACTCTGTCTCACCACCTTTCAGATACGGTAATGGCATATCAATAATAAGCCTGCTAGCATTTAAATATTCACGTTTCAAGACTTGAACATGGCCTTGCTGTTTTAGTCTTAATTTTTAGAAGTTTTGAGGGCAAGCAAAGACGCGTTGAACGTGAAATTACGTTGCCTCAGTAATTCATATGAGCCAGTTCTCGGTTTGTACTTCTTTGAAATTATGTACTGATACTGGCTTTTCGTTTGAACCTCCTCGAACTGTACGAGAAAACCAAAAGTTTGGAGAGGTTCAAACGAAAAGCTGTTGTAGCTTATTGTTTTTATTATTGTTATTGTATCAGTTAATTGTACGTAATAAATACTTGTCAATAAGATGAAATGTGGACAGATGTATCTTCAAGCGACGATTTCGGATAGGACAGCTATGATCGGTTGTCAGCAGTTGAGAACACCTTTCTAAGCAAGATTGTATTGGACATAGTTGAGTATCGTGTTTCACAGCTCTGCAATGAAAAGAAAGGAGATTGTTGCGATGGTAGCAAAAAGCGATGAAAATAGTGGGTGAACCCCTTGAAGAGAAAAAAAGGAATGCACAAGAGGAAATGTGGCTGTTAAAGAACCACGCGACGCTTATAAAAAGCAGACAGTGCATCTGTTCCGTCGTTAGCGATACCATTAGATGAGCCTTCACTGAGATCGCCAAATGGGTTATCGGTATAAATCAGGCGCTAAGGTTTATGTAAATGATCATGTAGCATCGTTGAATTCATAAGAAATAGGAGCTGAGCGTGGTACGCAGTGGAACATATCACATAGGTAAGCTAGTACCATTCAAAGGGCATGGGTACGTTCGCCCGTTTGGAGATGCCCATCGGGACTGATGCCAAGCAGTTATCCCAGCTTCCATAAAATACATTTTACAACGAATCAACTACACAAGGCAATAACATCGTAGCTACGTCAAAACAATCATCGTAACAGATCGCACGAAAACTGGAACATTCCCTTAGCTGATGGGTTTTGTTGGTAGAGTTTGTTACGTGCTACGTATAAAAGACCGTAACCTGTGGCGTAACGTCACCCACCTTATCACTTAGCATATGCAGCGAGTGGAGAACCACCTGTTGTTAACAGTAAGCTAATGGATTATGTCAACAAGACGGATTTAATGGTTCCGAACACACACTCAAATGCCTCCAAACATCCGTCACGTACATTACCACGCAACTGAAAGGTACCCCTAGCGAATGGGTTCGGGCTCCACGGGCGGGCCCCAATTGGTAGGCGTTAAAGTCGATCAAATCGTTACGAGCTTCGCCGCCCAATTTGCCACGCGCGTGCTCGGACGCACGTAGTGCAGGTTTTTACAGGTTTGGTTATCGCAGCTTCAATCAAGAGAAGAGAAATTGTGAGAACTGCAGTCCGCCGATATGGCCTCGATTCAGCTCCTTGAAGGTTTCTTTGGTTCCCCTGCTCCGCCTCGAAATAGCAAGATGAGCCATGGTGAGCATCTGGTCATTGCCACGCTTGTACCTGCAGCTGCTTACAATGTCCAACCCAGGGTCTAATAATCGTCACAAACACATGTGACAAATGGGCAACACCACTGGTGAATAGCCCTTTCGGCTCAAATGTGAAATAACTAATTTCACGCGAGTCAGTCGTGTAATAAATCAAATCAAATCAAATTATTCAATCCTCGGGCGGCATTGACGGGATATGTGTGTGTGCGTGTGCGTGTGTGTATCTTTTTGTGACTGTGTTTATCTCTTTTTGTATCTGTGTGTATCTCTGCGTATCTGGGTGTATCTCTGTTTTCTCTGTGTGTGCTTTTATCTGTCGTGTATATCTTTGTGTGTGAGTCTCTCTGTGTGTGTATCTGTGTGTGTAGCCTTGTGTATCTGTGTTATCTCTGTGTTTGTATACGTGGTGTATATCTTTGTGTGTGTATCTTTGTGCGACGGGATGAGCATGAGAAGGGCTAGGTGGCGAAGCGACCAATTTCGATAAAAATGTGAAAAAGGTGTACGGTATAGGCTATAATCCTATTCTACTTAACAAATAACTATGGACAAACCAACGTTTTCAAGTTTTCAAGCAAGCGTTTTCAAGTAGCAGCAAACATACGACATAATCCGCTGCCTGCGCTAGTCTACTGATAGCAGCAAGTGGCTTCCACTCGTTGTCAGATGATCGGTAATAGGTCGGGTGTTTTTCTTAATATTTCATCCATACATTTATAAAGTGGTGCCACAGAGCCCATTCAGTTCAGGTGGCAGCGCCTGGTGTCATAGTCGAGAACTTCGCCCTTTCACTTGAGCCGTCGACTACTCGGATTTCCTCGACAACCACGTTTACTCCTTGCCGGTTATGTTTGGCAGGATGAATACGTCGTTTCCTTATTCTCCCTTCCGAAATCCCATCGTGTCAGTAAAGGGGTGTATTGTGAAAACCATGAAGAGACTTTCTACGCGGTACCTGTAGCAAAACTATGTTGATGTTAAAGAGCTGAGACCAGTAAATTGTTGGTAACTATCGCCCGTTGTTGTCTGTCATTTATGAATTTTTCACTCGAGTTGACGAAGGACAGTCATGCGAGCAAGCAGAATTAAGAGTGGATTCTGTATGGCAGACCACATCTACATTGTGACAAAACAAAATGAAGTATCTATCGCGATCGTACAAGATGCCGTTATGAATTACGTCCATCGATTTGAAGAAGGTTTTTGATACCGTCAAAACAGGAGAGGTAATTGAAACCTTGGGCAATCAGGTGTTCCTCCTACTTATATGAGGACCTGTTGAGCTCCACAAACTAACGCGTGCGTCACAAAAACGCGTCAATCAGAAACGATTTTTTTAATTTGTTTGTGAACTCCATGACAATCTGGCAATAGTTTGTCGTTGGTTATATGTTTATGCAAAACGTTCGGGAACACTCACCACGGATGAACAGCGTTCTAGTTCCTTTGTCTAATTTTTGGCTTATTCCTAGAGTTTAGCCCATTTCCTTCGACGTCTGAGCTTTTTGCACAGAATCGTTACCCACTACAGGATTCTGCCCTTTTTTCTAATTACCGCCAACCATTTTTCCGCGTACGAGAAAGTTCCTGGGCACAGTTATGAATTTTTGATTTTCGCATCGCCCACTCNGTACACCCCCCCCCCCCTACTTCGGGGGTTGATACATTCCTTCTATTAACCGTATCACTTTTTTCCCGTGTTCCGAAACGCTTCTGAACAGGGCTGAGATCTTTTGGTCTAGGGCTCGCCTACCTCAGTGCATACCCCACCCACTTGAGGTATTTGACTACATGTCTTCTATAAACTGTAACCACACATTTCTCGCGTCGTAGAACGTTTCTGAACAGAGTTATGAGTTTTTGATCTCAGCTCCGCATACCATTGCGCAAACCACGCCCACTACAAGGATTTGGTCACATTCTTTTTATTACCTATTACCATCGGTTTCCAGTTTTCTAAAACGTTCCTGGACCCGATTATTAATTTTTGATCTTAACCTCGCCTACCTTAGCTGAAACTCCGCCCACCTCGTGGATTTGGCCACATTTCTTCCACTACATCTAAGCTATTTTCTGGCATTCTAGATCCTTTTTTTCAAAAAGTAGCTTCCATTTAGAAACACGTTCCACCCATCGTGGACCAGGCTTCGTAAATGCATGCCTAACACGCGTGAAACCTTGCTCAGCCCTTACTCTTCTAAGCTCTACGCTTACGTTGAATCGAGTTTTGAAATTATCTGGGAAGTACCGACCCTGAGCGAATACCCATGTCACCGCCGAAGGGTTTTCTTCACTTCACTGTTGTCCCATCCCTCAACCTCGCTCATTTTTTTCCGGCGTCCGGACTCTTGTGAAACCTAGCTAAGAAGTTCTGCTCATGACACCGCCCACTCGTGTGTATGTCCCTCCCCTGTGAGCGTAGCTCCGCTGAGTTCACATGTGCTCTGTTAATCTTATCCTATGCCCAACCCACCCCAAACATAACCCGACTTCTGCAGTGCATCTTGAGGTAATATCGAATTTTTGTATAAACAAACAGGCAGAAAACGGAAGCGCGTCATACATAGTAAGAATATTTCGTGAGCTTTGAAACAACTCTACGATCACGATCTCGCCATTCTACTACGGAGCGATACATTTTTGCCCAAACTTTACAGTGCCGTTTTCGAGCATGTCTTACGCCATCCGGGATCGCAGGATATACAGCTTGAAGAGCGTACGAAAACATCGAGGGAGTGGTGAAAAAGACAAAGAACATCTAGCTCCGCGCTCATCTTCTCGACTTTGTGATGACTGGACCAAGGCGATCGCTGAATATATCCTTCAAGACAGCAGGTTTACCGCTAGCCGGGTAACGGAACTTGTCCCCTATCGCGGCATTCTCCCTTGCGGCATGCGGCAAATGTCACTGCAATTACCGTACTCACCCCGCCAACCACCAATCGATAGGACGCGATATTTTTTGTTGATTGCCTTGCTTTTTTGTTGGATTTGATCGTTCTTTCTTCTGTTTCTTTTTCGTTTTCATGTTTATTAGACTTGATTAGTGGAAATAACTCCTCCTATGTAAGCGGCGATCAANAGGCGGCGGGTGC